CCATTTGTTGAATAATTGGTCTATTACCCACTGATTTGAAATTCAACTTTAATCATACATTAAATTTCCTCATATATATTTGGTTCTATTTCTAGACTCCCAGACTGTTTCTTCATTAGTCTATTTTACAAGAAGGTACTGTTTTAATTATTGCAGCTTTGTAATGTATTTCAGTGTCTATGCTAGTTTCCTCTGTTTGCTATTCTTTTTCAGAATTTGTTTGGCTATTTTTTCATCGCTGTTTTTTTATGTGAACTTTAGAATCACTTTGTCTACTTTAAAAAAAAATCCTTGTGTGTGTGTGTGTGTGTGTGTGTGTGTGTGTGTGTTTGAAGTGAAGAAAAGTTTAAGAGAATGACATCTTTATAACATTGATTCTTTCTATCCACAGTTCTCCTTCATTCTCAATTATCCCCTTTTCCACAGAGAGGGTGGCTAACAGGGCTGTTGTGTACAGTTGCACAGGTTGTACACTACACCATCGTAGTACTGAGGCTGAGAGGAGCCATTGGCACCTGCAAACAGGATATGAGCTCTTCTCTCTAGGCTAATCTGTCCATCTTCATATATGATCAATACTATTAATAGCCACCCCTCCTAGCATGTGCCAGGCTCTGTTCTAAGCAGCATATATTTATTAGTGCATTTAGTCTTCAAAACAAACATATCCCCAATTTATAGCTAGAGAAAATGAGGAACAAAGAAGTTAAGTAACTTTCCCAAGGTCTCTGATTTCTGTTACCCTCCTGAGCATTCACAGCACAGAAGTCTGTTCCTGCACATAAATACATACACACACACACACACACACACACACACAGATATGTGCACACACTCAGACCACAGACACACATACTTCAACACACAGGCATGCACACACAGATGTGCACAGACACACATATTGACATTCACAGATACATACATGGACATGCATGCAGACACACCTGCACACACGCAGACACACATGCACACACACGCATGCACACACAAACACATGCACACACTCTGCTATCCCAGCAGCATCCTCTTCCCCTCAGCCTGTCACTCTTCCTGCAGCACACACCCTGCCAGCCCCCCTGCCATCTCTTGCTTTCGGACCAGGCAGGTCCTTGAGGAAAGTCAGCTGTCACTGCTCTGAGTCCTGGGTAGGGCGTCCCTCCCGGGATCCCTGTATCCAGAGGGCAGGGGGTCTTTTAGGAGGGTGTGACTTTACCGCAGGAGGCTGCGGAGAGGAGCCTTGTGAGGATAATGGTAGGCAAGGAATGAGGAGCCCCCAGCCCAGGGCCTGGTACCCAGCAGATTCTCAGAGAAAGGCCTCTCCTTCCTTCTCCTCCTCCCCAGAGTTATTATCTCTGGCAGCCTCTGGAATCAACCCATCCAAGCAAAAGTCATTCTGCTGCAGGCTGGCACCCCCGGGGGGCTTGAAGAATGAACAAGCAAATGCAGACCTGGGAGCAAATTGCCCAGTGAGCAGGTTTACAGAGGTGAGGGTGTCTGGGCACAGAGCAGGTGTGTGTGTGTGTGTGTGTATGTGTGTGTGTGCTCGCACATAGGCACATGTGTGAATACAGACACACACCCCGGCCCCTCTGACTGTTCTGGCTCTGAGTCAGCCCCACATGGAAGGGATTTAATCATTCAGGGGCTGGGATCGTTATTGTTTTAAAACAAACGAGTGATGACAGCAATGAACAGAGGGTTTTTAAAAGCACGATTCAAAGGGCTCTTGAAAGCCGCTGGAGAATATGAATGCACCTTTGAAGTGAGAATGCGCCCATTTGTTACACTGAGAGCAAAGCTGGCTGCCTGGCGGGCAGCGGGCAGTGAGTCCTTTTCCTTGGCAAATGGGTGCTCACCAGCCTCTCCGCCCTCCCCACCACCTGGCCAGAGGTGGTCTAAGACCCTGGAGACACAAATGCCCCTGGAAGGGACCAACAGTGATGGTCACACCTCCAACTCCACCCTCAGAAAGAAGCATCTTCTTAGCTGTTTTTAAGACGCTGCATTCACCTGACGGTTGTTAAGAGCAATGGAAAGATGCACATGCATGAGCAGGGAGATATGTGTGATTGGAACATCAGCAGTCCAGGCACGGTGGCTCATGCCTGTAGTCCCAGCACTTTGGGAGGCCAAGGCGGGTGGACCACTTGAGGTCAGGAGTTTGAAACCAGCTTGGCCAACATGGTGACACTCTGTCTCTACTAAAAACACAAAAGTTAGCTGGTGGTGCATGCCTGTGGTCTCCGCTACTCCGGAGGCCGAGGTGGAAGGATCACCTGAGCCCCAGAAGTCAAGGCTGTGGTGAACCAAGATCATGCCACTGCACTGCAGCCTGGGCGACGGAGCGAGACCCTGTCTCCGAAAAAAAGGAAAACATCAGCAGTGAGACAGTGAGACATAGAGGGAGCAGTTGAAGTGGCCTCCTGCTGGCACCTGCCCTCTGAGCCACCCTGAGGCCACTCTCAGGTGGTCCCCACAGTGAGGGTTAGCAGCAGCCAGGGTGGGAGTTAGGGAAAAGCCTCCCAACCCACCACAGCTATATATTCATAAGATTGAGCCCTTGGCCCCTGGGGGCGGCGGTGCAGCATTTTGGGGTGCTGTGCAGCAGGGTCAGCTGACTTGGGCCCCACCTGTACATGATGGCTTCTGCTACGTTGTAAATCTCTACCTGAACCCAGTGAGGCCTGAAAGCAAATGCTGAACCTGTCCGAAGACCATGGAAGTCCAGTACTGGGCAGATCAGATGGTGAGAGGATGGGCTTGGGTCTCGGGCTCCAGGCCCTCCTTACGTTCCAACGTGGGGTGCAGGAGAAGCTCCGCTGCACCCAGCCACAGCTGCCTACCACCTGGTCCACTCCCTTCCAGCTGTAAATGGCCCCCTCCCGATCCCCGTCCTCTTCTTCCTCTGGTTGGTTTGCTCCATTTCTTTTACTTTTTCTTTCTTTCCTTTTTTTTTTTTTTTTTTTTTTTTTTTTTTATGAGGGTTTTTTTTTTT